ATCAACAGCAGAGGCAGTGATGCGTCAGTGCAGAAGCAAGGGAGGTAAAACGGTGCGAGCTCTTCGTCCATTACTTACTTTTCTTCATGGTAGCGCTGGATCCTGTCTTGGGAATGATAGCTGAAATGTTCAGCTGGTTGACAATGTCAGGTTGGTTTGTGATTTGTCTGCTATAAGTGATGGTGTACTCCATATCAGCTCAAGTGTCATGCCCACAGAAATCATTAAGAGATACTTTAAGGAAAAGTCCTGCCTCTTGGATCTCATGGAGTTAGGAAACAAGGTAACTGAAGGTCCTGATCAAACGCACCCCCTATTTTGTTTTAACCTTGAAATGTCATGTACGATTCAATTTATATATAGTCTTCAGACTGCCATGAGCAAAGGATCTCTCGAGATACAGAATTCAACGGTATGCATGCAGGCAGTATTTAAGCAACTCTACTCAAGTTAAAAAACATTATTGATATATCTTAATTTACTGTCTAATTATCTACATCATGAAGTAGTCCATTAAAAAATCTGAATACACATATTTAAATACATTTTCTACTTCTTCTCTTGAGTTGATTCTGATAAAAAGTTCTGAAATATGGTCCAAGTACTGCTCAGGCATATAAAACAAAAACAATTTATTCATTTATACCCTTTTAAGGTTGTGAGTCATCAAGGATTTCATCAAGATTCTAAAAATACATGCCATGCCAGTACATAGTTCCACATTTAGACTGAAAATCTTATTGCTGGCATTCATTACTTGATTTCTAGCGATAATATTGTGGTCCAGGCCTAGCACTTGTGTATCAATTAGATTGTACAGAAGTCATTTCGAATTTATTCCATCAGCTCATTACCTGTACCGGTCCTCAGCCGAAGTATTCTTGCCTGTGTAGCTCCATGTTGTGTGCTTACGTGTTCTATTGAATTTGATTTGTTCTCTTACTGAATTGATGATTAATTGTTGCTTGTGTGATGACTCAGACAGATTGGAGAAACCACTCACAGGTATGGTGAAGGAGCATATTTAAGGTAGAAGCACATTTGAGGTTGTGTGATACATTCCTTTTTTGGGTTAATTTGAGTCATGCCATTACAAATATGTCATATTAGAAAAATGCCATTACAATTCGCAATATCGACTCGGTGCCTTTCTTTTTTGGCTATAACCAACAACGTTTGCACTTTGCAATACCAGATCAGCTTATTCCCAGAACACACTAATAAACTTTTCTATAATAAGCAGCAACTTGGTATAGAGACAAGTTGAATTGATCTTTTTTCTTCCAGAGCTGCATTTTAACACCATAAAATGAATATGGTAGGATGTTTTAGGCTCAATGATTGGCTAGACAGGTAAATAGAGTCATACGTGCCATGGTTAATAGTCTGTCCAAAATATAGAAGGCAAGTTATTTAGAATAATTTATAATAACAACAGGCAATCATGAATTTCAGTTTTCTATTGTACATATGTTTATAAACAGGGCAGTGAACTCTAGATTCTTTACCATCTGTTAGATGTAAACAATTCAACAACATAACATTTTGTACATGAAAACTCGGCCATGGCACCTTTCTCGATCATTTGTGGCGTCAATCTCCTAAATACTAAAGTTTCACCACCAAGCTCATCATGTTAATTCCTTTATAAGATAACATGTTTTCTTTTTGCATCCAACAGTGATCTTGTGCCAATTTGGTGGTTCAAAGTGATGGCAATTTTCTAAGCAGCGTTCACAACATCTGAGACACTCCCCACTTCCACTCACCTAGGAATGGCACCTTCAGTGCCTCTGTTTGAGGAATAAAGCAACATGGAGGATCACACTTATGTAACCTCTTTCTAAATGGCAACATAACATTAAGAGTGTTAGACATCATTGTACAATCTCATACATTACGATCCATACATACAGGGCTTTATAGGGCCACCAAAGTCGCGCAACGCGCGACAAAGTGGCTAGTTAAGTTCTAAAAGCTACTTCCCGTTTTCTTAAAAAAAAAAAGCTACTTCCCGTTTCAAAATAACTGGATGAGACATTAGTAAACGAACATGGAGCAGCCTTCTTTGTGCAATGTCTTCTATTATTTGCGTAGCTGTTTTGAATTATATGCTCGAAATTTGTTAGAAGATTATTTTGGTTCTCTCGAGCTACGGTTTGGAAAGTTTCTCATTTTCCGGACATGTTTTCGAAAATGGAAAGTGTCAGTCGGACATTTTTTTTCGAAAATTTTCGAAAACGGAAATGAATTCGGAACTTTTTTTCTTGGAAATAAAAACAAATACAGTAAGGCTACTATTCGTAGGAAACCGGCATCGTAAACTTTCCGGAAACAATTTTGGAAACTTTCTGGAAACGAAAACTTTTCATATACAGTTGATTAGCTTTAGCCTTCTCTACTCTATGTTCAGATTTTTCATAGTATTGAGGTGGTTAGTTGAATGAAGATTTTGATTTTAGTACGGTACTTTAGATGTTTTTTCTTTTGCCTAGTTACTGTTTCATTATTTGGCCATGCCATACTAATTACAGGTATAGATGAATATAGCTTTGGTTCTTATGGTAAGTGAACCGTACAACTAGTCGTATTATATTTAAAATTGATAAAAAAAATATAGAAATGTCGATTTATTATTTTAGAAAAGTAATGAGCTACACTCTTCGTTAGTTTGAAAAATTCAGTGAGGGGTTTTCTATTATGATAAATATCCGTTACCGTTTTCGCTATGTTTTCATATTCAATACCATTTTCATATTTGAGGTTTCCTGCTCCGATTCCGATTCCGAAAAAAGTTATGGAAACTATAGTCTCCGTCCGTTTCCAAGCCGTTTTCGTCCCTATCTCGAGCCAAATGCCATTTCAAACAGCCAAATTTAAAAACAACAAAAAAAATTGCATGCTTGAATTTGCCTCAAGAAATAATGTCATAATATCATAAGTTTGGTACATTTTGTAAAAGAGCATAATGCCCGTGCGTTGCAATGGTTTTCTTGTTAACTAATATATTATCATTATGTTAATTTTGTTGTCATTTCGTGAGATGAAAAATTTCATAATATTGTATTGTCGGACAAAACCAGAGTCAAAACCGTCGAGGGACCTAGTCTTTAGTGGTTTTGTAAGTTGGGGGACGTGTTGTATCCGGTTTTATGGTTTAAGGATGATTTTGTAATTCGATGACAAGTTGAGGGACCTTCGGTGTACTCTTTCCATTATTTTATGCAAAAGGAATAAGTCCATTTTAGCTCCCTCATCTCTTGCCCTTTGTCGAATAACATCCCTCCACCACAAAACCAGGTATAATGACTCCCTCATCTCCAAAAACCAGTGCAAATCGACTCCCAAGGCAGTATTGAGTCCAGTTTTAGCTTATGTGGCATCCACGTGGCATCTAGGTGGCATTCACTGTAAAAAAATTAGGTGGGACCCACCTATCACCCCTCCCCTCTCTCTTTCATCTTCTCATCTCTCACAGCCGCCTTCCATTGGCTCGAGCGGCGGCGGTGGGGGAGGAGCTCGCCGGGAGGCCGCGGCCGGCTGGCCGTAGGGGAGAAGCTCGCCGGGAGGTTGCGGCCGGCTGGACGCGGGGGAAGAGCTTGCTGGGTAGTCGCGGCCAGCCGAGCGCGGGGGAGGAGCTCGCAGGGAGGTCGCGGCCGCTCGGACGCGCGGATGGAGCTCGCCGGGAGGCCGCGGCCGCCTGGACGCGCGGATGGAGCTCGCTGGGATGCCTCGGCCGGCTGGGCACCGGGGAGGAGCTTGCCGGGTGGCCACGGTTGGCCGGGCGGTGGGAGGAGCGCATAGGGTGGTCGCGGTCGGCTGGACCCGGGAGATCTTGTACTCTCCGAACGCCGCCGCCGTCTTGTTCGCCGCGAGGTGGTGGCGGTGCCGCCTTCTCCCGCCGGCAGCCGATGCCGTCCCGCTCGCCGCGAGGTGGTGGTGGTGTCGCCGCCGGTGCCGCCTTCTCCCGCCGACAGCCGATGCCGTCCCGCTCGCCGCGAGGTGGTGGTGGTGTCGCCGCCGGTGCCGCCTTTTCCCGCCGACAGCCGATGCCGTCCCGCTCGCCGCGAGGTGGTGGTGGTGTCGCCATCGGTGCCGCCTTCTCCCGCCGGCAGCCGATGCTCACTGCCTGCCGCCCGCATCCTAGGAGAGAGAGGGGAGAAGGGAAAGGATCCTCCTGGATGTTGCGATCTTCGACTTCCCCACGCCGTGGACCGTCGACGTCGCCAGGCCGCTGGGCGTCAAGGTGGCACAGCGTGGACCGTCGACGTCGCCAGGCCGCTCAGCGTCAAGGTGGCACAGTTCTCCATCTCCGGCACGTACATCATCGCCTCCGCACACTGCCTCCACGACGATCGCTAGACCATCGAGGACCCCGTGTTGACACCCATGGGGTTCCTGCCGTCATCGTTGCTCGCCACCGTGCGGACCAGGCGGCGTTGATTGGGGAGGCGGGAAAGGACAGCGACGAAGAGGACCAGATGCAGAACGCCGCCGCTAGCCCCCTCCCAGCCTGTTGCGTGCACTCTAGCTGCGGCGGGATGCGGAACGTGGCCGCCAGCCCGCCGCCGCCAGCTCGAGTTCGGCGTCGGGCGAGAACGACGATGACGAGGAGGAAAAGGCCACCCTGTCGCCACGCAGCACCAGCAGCCGGCTGGCTGACATGTGGGTCCCACCTGATGACTCAGCCATTCAACGGGGTCAAAGATGCCACGTGGGACAAAAACCGCCTCCGAAACCGCCCGGGAAGTCGATTTGCAACGGTTTTGGGAGTTGGGGGATATATTACACCCGGTTTTGCGGTTGAGGGATGCGATTCAACCAAGCGCAAGAGATGAGGGAGGCAAAATGGACTTATTCCTATGCAAAACCTTAAGCTCCTATTTACCGGCCCATTAAATAAACGTGTTAGGCCTGCCCCATGAAATTCCTGCAGTCCAGGCCCAGGTATCGGCCCGGCCCCACAGGTCGGTCATCTTCCTCGAGTCGAGGGAGACGGTGGTGGAAGCGTCCAGAACGAGCGCCAACGACGAGTCGTCACCTTCCTCGCGAACACTCGCGAACGCTCTCCTCTCCATCTCCCGATCGCCCTCCGCCCGCCGCCCGCGCCGCATAAATGGCGGATCCGCTCGTCTTCCTCCTCATACAGAAGAAGAAGCAACGCGCTCGCCAACGACGACGACGACGACGAACTAGGGAAAAGCGGACCGCATCGCGCGCCGGTAGCTGACCTCACTCGGCCCCGTGGAGATCCAAAAGGTTTTTTGGTGGTGGTTGTTCGTCTCGGATTATCTTCTGGCCGCACCGCACATCGGGGGCAGCTCTGCTCTGTGAGTCCCCTCCGATCCTTTTTGCTTCGCGTCGCATTATTATTATTATTTTTTTGCGTAATTTTGGTTGTTGTGCTTTATCGCGTGAGTTGGTAGGTAGTATCATGAGCCAAACGATCTGTTGTTTCTGATTAGTACTAGTGTGTGACTGATTACGATGGATGGCAATTGGCATCGGTGTGCATTTTGGGGACGAGAAAACCGGGTGATTGATGGAATCGAACGCGTTCAAAAGGATTTCTCTGCGATTAGCCCAGATTTTTTTTTTCTGAAATTCTGGCATTCCCGTGACAGAACATTGGTTTTTGGTGTTTTTTTTTTTAAAAAAAATGGAAGAAGGTAGCAGAATCTTGTAGATAAGTGATGGGGGAGTGCTCTGGTAATTATTTGAAGTTTGACAGACCGAATGCTCCCTGATGACTGATGTTTACATGACCAGTAACCACACATGATAGGAGCAACTGATAATATTGTTCTTGGTATTTGTGATAAACTTCTTATAGAGTACTAGGTGAAATGAAACTAATTTGGTACTATACACTAGTTTAATGCTAATTTGTTCTGTGGAATCGCTTTTCCATGTTTCTATTTTGTGCATGATGTTTCTCGATAATTTTAGGGACATTTTTTTCTAAACCATCTTGCACAAGACAATAGTATTGTGTACCAACAAATGACATAAAAACTGCGATAGTTACAGACCAATAAATCCGCACGAGAGAGAATAGTGAATAATCGACTGATAGCTTGGATAGCATATAGTGTGTTTTAATTTAAAATCTGATCAGAAGGTGCTTAAGAATGTAGTTTCGCTAGTTCTTATTTATGGTCAGAAAGTAAAACATCCTTTTCAACTAATAGCTTTTGATAATGCGAATTTAGGTCCTTCATGGCTACACAGCATGGTAGTAATATATTTCTTATGTATTTTTTCAGGTATCAGCCCTAGAACCTGTTCGGCAGGTCTAGGTATTTATCAAACTAGTATATACTAAATTAGTTAGTGATGTATCCTGCAAACCAGTACATGGATCCATACTATTCACATTACAGAAATCACGCTCCTTACGCACATTATCCTCCTTCTGGGTGTTGGGAAGTTAGTCATCCACGGATGGCAATGGACTCGTCCTGTCGACCGCCGAGCTATGGACCTTGGCCTAACATGAACCACCTGCATCCTCCAGAGTTTCATAGCTGCTGCAACCACACATATCCTCCTGGTTACTACAGTTTCAGGCTACCATCCCCTCAAGAAATTCCACCACCTCATCTGTATTACCATGGTCCTTTTCCACAACACCCGAATGCCTACCCTTCTTACTTTGCACGTCCACCGCCGTATCCTGTTGATCAGACAGCATACGGCTATGACAAGTTCAAGAGCCATTGCTGTGGATGCCCAAACCATAGTTGCCATGGCGGCGAGAGGAGCAATATTAAAATTGAAGAAGAGAGGCCTGAAGTCAATCCCGACACTGAGCAGAGGGATGCCAGCGGTTCTGATATAGTTCGACATCCAAATTACCAAAACCAGGCTATATGGCTTCCTTCTGGCAACATGAATGATAAGGAGAACAAAAAAAGCATGGAATTGCCACCTCAGTTCTACAATGGTTGGATTCCTGTGAGTGGTAAGTGGGTTGGGGATGTGAAGCAACAAGATCAGGATGATCAGAAGGCTAAACAATTTCAGTGGCCAATATTTTGGATGCCAGCAGGATATAATGAGAAAAGGCAAGAAGCAAAAGAACTGAAGGAGGTGGATGAAAGTCCAAAGGTTTCTGAAGAAGCTCCTCCATCGCCCAAGATCAAGATTATTCCCTTGTCATGGTTTGAAAATGGTCACAATGATCAGAAGCCATCTGTGAAGGATGAATCTCATCATAATGAAAGATCAACAGTGAAGAAGCAGTCTGCAGGTACTGAGCATCAAGATGGCAGGGAAATGAAGAATATTCCACTTATGCCCAAGAAAGAAAGCGAAGAGAAGATGCCCGCCAGGGAAAATTACAAGACAATTCCAGTGATGCCTAGGAAAGACAATGAAGAAAACAAACCCGCTGGTGGTAATTACAGGATTATTCCTGTTATGCCTGTGAAAGAAAGCGATGACAAGAAGCCTGAGGCAAGTGTGCAGAGAGATGAAAAGAAGGCCAGCAGCACTGAGATGGAAGAAGAAAATGGTAAAAGAAGCAATGAAGAATCATCAAAAGCAAAGAATTCAAAATTGCCTCCTGTATGTTTGCGGGTGGATCCTTTGCCCAGGAAGAAATCTGGAAGTGGTTCTTCAAGGTCTCCCAGTCCACCAACCAGGAAGGATGCAGATATAGCCAAGAAGGATGTTAAAGAGATCCATATGCAAAAACAGGACGCTAAACAGTCAGATCCAAAGAAGGAGAGAACTGTATCTGAAGCTAAAGAAAAAGCACATGATGAAATGAATAAAGGGAGGGCATATGGCAATGAAACCGTGCAAGCTGCTTCTGTGAAACAAATGCAGGAGGAACAATTTCCCATGAGTCTGGCTGACCAGAAGGTGCAAGCTACTGGAGTAAATTTTGATGCTCAGGAAAATGTTGGTGAGAAGAATTTGCAGGGATCTGACAAAAACACAGAGGGTGAGGCGAAAATTCAAGGTGAGCCTGCAAAAGACTATGATACAACTCCCAGCATTAATTTCTCAGAAGTAGATGCAGCAGTTTGTATTCAGTCTGCATACCGGGGATATAATGTGCGAAGATGGCAACCTTTGGAGAAACTCCGGATGATCAAGAATGTAAATGAACAGATGAAAGATCTGAAGGAGCAGTTGCAAGGCATTGAAGCTTCTTCCAAGCAACTGACTGTTAAAGAGCAAGTGGCTATCAATGAGACTATCATGAATTTACTCCTGAAGCTTGACACCATTCAGGTACCACCTTTTTCTGTTCAGATTGATTTTATGTTTCTGATTAAATTACTGTGGTACAATTTTATGGACAATTGCATGTTGGTTGGTTGTTCACCTTGGTGATGCTAATCGTTGATACAGGGCTTGCATCCAACTGTAAGGGAGGCTAGGAAGTCTGTTGCTCGAGAGCTAATTAGTCTGCAGGAGAAACTTGATTGTTTATGCAAGCAATCATCTGGCGAGTCTATTCACACAAATGGTGAAAAAGAGAAACCAGAGGCAATGGAGAATAATTTTCAAAATACAGATCCAGTCTCAGCAATAGAAGCATCTGAGAAAGTAAGTCTCACTTCTCCCTTCATAGCATTCTATAACTTAGGCTGCGTTCATTTTTGCATCTTGGCTGATAATTTCAGCGGCACGTGAAACGAGACGTCGTTAGCACATTATTAATTAAGTACTCCATCCGTTTCAGGTTATAAGACGTTTTGACTTTGGTCAAAGTCAAACTACTTTAAGTTTGACTAAGTTTATAAACAAATATAGTAATATTTATAATACCAAATTAGTTTCATTAAATAATTAATTTAATATATTTTCATAATAAATTTGTCTTGGGTTGAAAATGTTATTATTTTTTTCTACAAACTTAATCAAACTTAAAGCATTTTGACTTTGACCAAAGTCAAAACGTTTTATAACCTAAAATGGAGGTAGTATTAATTATTACAAGCTTGATAAATAGATTTATTTGATTTTTTAAAGAAACTTACATATTGAAAGTATTTAGAAAAAACACACCGTTTAACGGTTCGGGAAATGTGCTCATGGTAGACAAGGGAGTAGTTTAGTTAGAGTGGTAGATTCGAATGGAGCCTTAATTTTGTTACTGTTTACATGATGACAACATGCTAATTTACAATGTAATTTCAACAAATATTTGCCAGCAGGAAAAAGCTGCAGGAGTGGATGAAGAACAAGGCCTGTCCACAATCAACTCCAAGCTGTTGATGCCTGATGCAGTTTCATCAGTAGTTTCAATGTATACGACACAAGATGCAGATCCTAGTGATCATATAGAAGAGTCAAATACTACTAAGGAAGAAGCGCCTAATAATGGAGTAAGTTAATTTCTATCTGTTCCTTTGGAGGGCCTAATTGCAAATTGATATGTAACAGATTGATTTGATTTACTCGTGGGGTATCTGACGTAACTCATCTTCAATAGGGGAAAGTTGCAACACAGTGTGACTGTCAAGGAGAACCATCAATGGATGTGATGGGTGATGCAGCTTTGTTGGGACATTCCACTGAGCAGAAGCAACAAATAGAAGAATCAAATGCCATTTCAATGGACAAATCGTGTGAAAGAGTAAGTTGCATTTCAATCTACTTTCTTAGTAAAAAACTAATTAGCAAGGCAAATGCAGTCCTTTAATTAACACACAATATTTTGGCATGAACTAATTTGACTCTTCATGTCAATAGGAAAAAGATGTACCCCCGGTTGGAGGACAGGAAATACCATCAGGGGACCACATGGAACCGTTACATGATGAAGCTTTATCAGAGAACTCCAATGAGCTGCAACAGTGCACAACTAGTGAGAGATCAAGTACAATGATTTCTCCTGCTGCCGCTGACAACAGTATGATTACTATGGCTGCAACATCTGTTGAAAGTAGTGTGTCAGCTGATAAAGTAAGTTGCTTGTACTTATTTCTTTGATGGTGAACTTTACCCATACAACAGTATTGAATTTGTAAAATATCAATGTTGTATGCCATGAATACAGGTCAGCCCAGTTGAAGGTCAGGTGACAGAAGCTGCAGTTGAGCATGCTCCTGTGGAAAAAGATCAGTGTGAAGAACCAAACACTACAATTGTTGATTCGGGGGACTCATCAGTATCCTTGAAGAATGAAGAGCTGCAGGATCATGATCAAGCTCCTTCAGGATCCTCTATTATGTCCAATTCAGCCGAGCAGCCAGAAGAAGCTAGCGATGTGAACATGCAGCAACAAGTTGAAAATGTGGATACCACACAAGATGCAACCGAAGAATCTGATGCTACACCAGAGATTGGTATGGTTGATGTTACCTATGCAGACACAGAAAATTATGTGCAGTCTCCCTTGCTGCAAACAACATCAAAATTGCAATCAACAACAGGACAAAATGTCCTGAAGGAACCAGAAGCAGCAAAGCAATCTGACGTTTCTGGTGAATATGAGTCAGTACTTGTTGGTAAGCAAAATGAATCCGCTAACAATCTGACAGGAGATTCTGCGAAAGAAGAGCCCCCTCTTGTGGGACTGGGAATGGAAGCTGATACTCATGAAAGTGCTCCTAGAGAATTGAAGGATGAACCTATTTTGCCAGAGACGGAGAGAAGTGAATTATCATGTGAACATGGTGACATCACAGGACATGAGGATTCCGAAATGTATGCGCCACCGGAATGCGAAACCGATGTGCAGAAAGAGAGTTGCTGCGTTGATAGGCGTCGTGCGGACATGCAGGTGCCAAAGGAAGTTGAATGCGATGAGCTGGGAGATGATAATCCGAAGGAAGATGCTAGTGTTCAGACAGAGAACATGGCATCTGAAGAAGCTTCCTTGGCTTCTGCAACTCCTGATGGTATGAAAGATGAGAACAAGGTTGCTGAAGAAACTACTTCAGATTATGCGACTCCTTATAGTTCAAAGAGTGACAATGAGAACAAACTTGCTGAAGAAAACCAGAAGCTGAAAGAGATGCTGCAAAACCTTCTTGCATCTGGCAGCGATCAGATGGGAGTTATCACGGAACTGAGCGAGAAGGTCAAGACGCTTGAGCGTAAGCTGGCGCGCAAGAAGAGGCCAAAGGTAAGGGTACACAGACCAACCAGGCAAGCAACGGCCAAAGTCCACTGAAGATGATCTCTGAAGTTTTGAGTTTGTGTTTATGGATTCCATGTAGCTGTTTGTAACCATGCCTGTATGAATGTACTACTTGTAATGTACACATGAGTGTTGTGGTACTATGCATTGGAGAATGTAAGATCATGCCTGTGTTGGGTCCTTGTAATGCTCATGTAGCCTAGTTTAACACGGAGTATCAATGTCATAAGGGAGTTGAATATTTTCCTTGTGTGCTATTTTTCTGGTTAAGAAAGCTGCTGCTGCTCCATACATACCATATGCACATTATCATTTCTGCTATTTCCACTAAGGCCAGGTATGATCTGAAACCAAAAGTTCGTCATGTGCTGGCTTCATGTGTCCTTTCTCACTCCAATTTGTCTGTTGCTTTTGATGCAGGACATGTGGCAGGGGAGTGGGAGCTGAACTTTGTGCAACGCATGCAGGTGATTGCTCTGCATCCAGTATTTTGCCATGCTTTTTTTATCTATAAGCTGCCTGATCGAGCTGTGATCTGATTATATATCTCAACTTGTGAAAAGTAATTTGGGACAAGTGAGTTAGCTCTAATAATATAGCTTAAGAAAAGAAATAAGTAGTAAAGAGAATCGGATGGGAGGTATTGCTCACATGACATCGGAATAGCGTAAAAATGCCGAACTGTTGCTCGCTTGATTATATAATATATATATTTTTTTGGTGGGAGATGTAACATTCTTGTCCAGTAAATTGTAAGACTGCAGTTAGTCATGAATCTGGATTCTGGAGTTAATCATGAAAAGGCATATCCACCTTTTCAGGTTTCGACTTGGAACGGCGCAGTATCATGATAACAATAGGACCCAGTCAGGTCTTCGAAAAGTTTTCAGACATGCAAGATAGTAGAAGGTAAAACAAGGTACAGTCCCGAATAGTATTGCGTTATGCTATCTTACTTTCTTCCCTGGAACATGATGTCTTTGCCAATGAACCAAATCATGGTTATTGCACTCATCTTGTTTCTTAGACAAATGGCAAGTAGGTTGTTCTCTATGACAATACAGAGGGGAATAAAATAAAAATATGAGAGAGCATGGCAAACATCATAAGATAGCCTGTTACTGGAATACACTCCTATATTGTCAGCACTTGATGCCACGCCTCCCATGCTCTTTTGCTGCAAATGTGAGCTATGAAACACTCTGGACCACTCGAGATTCCGGTAAGCATGGAGGGCCTCCATTAGCAGAGCATGCCAGTGTCTTAAACAAAATGATTGGCCATGATCTATCCATCTGAATATTTGTCTATATTTATGCATCTTGCTCTAGTGCTAATCTTTGCTAGATCATGTTGGATAGCCCACTTTGCTACATGTTAGTACAACAACTAACATGAAGTTTCCAGGAAGTGTCAATTGATCCTGATGTTTGTAAGGGCTGGTTTGGTTTGTGGCCTAACTTGACCTTACCAACTTATGTTGATGCCAATTTTTAGCAAGTTTTAGCATGGCTAATCTTGACAAGGTAAAATTGTGTTTGGATTGAAGCTAAAATAACCTAAGTTAACTATTGGAATGGCCTATTTTTTTAGGATTGGCAAAATTTGGCTTCAAACTATATAGACACTAAACACTATTGAAACTAGTTGATATCACGTGTTTCGCCGTGGGATGTGTTGATGAATGCATGTTATACATTATAGAAATGATAGATGTATATGTTGTAAAAAATGTGAAATAATGTGGAGATAATGATTTGGCATTGGCACACTGCTTGCATATTGAGTTCTAAAGATACAATAAAATTGTAAATGATATATCATAATATTTAAAATACTCTAGATAATAATTGCTAGTGAGTGATGATGTGACGCACTTGTATGTGATTTAAAATAATCTAGATAATAATTGCTAGTGGATGATGATGTGGCGCACCTGCATGTTGAGTTTTAAAAGTTCGTGGACATAAACTATATAGATAGTATAAATTGCTAAATGTTGATAAGGACAGTTTAGGCCACAAACCATACTAGCCTTAAATTACTGCTATTCCTATATCTGCTAGAAATAATAAGGCGCATGCTACTTAAAAATACAAATTTGAAATTGCACACTTCTGATATATAGTCAGGAATGACTTTGGGCATGTTTGGAGAGAAGCAGCTGGTAGGAATCTAGGAAGTGAGAAGCTGGTCCTAGCTTCTAGTTCATTTTGTGGACTCGTGGATTCTATAACTATACCTTCTTAAAATCTAAATTGTTTGAGAGAGTTATTGATTTTGGGAAAAAGCTACAACTACCAGAAAAACTCCCAACCATACCCTTTCTATCATATACTGTAGGAACTACCCGAACCTTCCATAGCAGTCTGATCCATGAATTTAACAAGGAATCCTAAAAGGCATGGTAAATATACTTCATTCATACAAAAATGTGATGACTAGTCAGTCTCACAAGTCTCAACATCGCTTTAGAAGCCGAAGCAAGAGGAGGATCCTATATGGCTAAGATTAGTGTCACTCGAGACAATGACATGAGGACAGTGACTTCAAGTTGATATAGATATCCATTTAACTCTTTGTCCATGAGCCTCTCCTTACGGAACTAATGGAAGTGTTCTTGATGGCCAATTTCACAACTGTTGCCATTAAAAAAAAAACCCTACAATTTATTTCCCCATTCCCTTTTTCATAGGATTGAAACTGGCTGATGGTTGAGACATCGCAAAATTAAAGCATGTGGTGTCAATGACTAGTGAGTGGATTATGCCATGCCAACCAAAAGGAAAATGTTTGCCAGGAATTTCTTCCATGCGAAAAATAAAATATTTTTAAAATTATTTATTGCGTGTTTGTACTTTACCCATTAGCACAGGAAATTTCCGCGCTTAATGGCTTAATGCATACCTTACATTTTTTCTTTCCACGTAGGTTATTTGGGTGAAAGAATGGGCTAATTTCATTAGGTTCTTTTGCCAGCGGAGGAGCCACCACTTACAAAAATGTGCGGTTCTATGCATTCTTGGCCGTTGCATTGTTCTTCTTTTTTGGTTGATGACTCGATTCCTCTTGAAAGAGATTTACAGTTCTCATGGTCTGACATTTTAGGTCTGGTCTACATCTGATCTGACTCACATGCAAGCTAAAAAAACTGAAAAAGCACCATGTTAGCTTTCTCATGAAACACAAAAACGAAAGGTGGTATGTGCATTCTGGCACATGGCACATATACATTGTAGTGGGCATTAATTTATTAGTGGCCATTCTCATTAGTGCACTAGCATGCCTTTGATTATTCTGGGGCACAGTTGATATCCTACTTGTTTGCCACCACAAGAACAACGCTGCACTGCTGCCAGGTTGATTCAGTTCTTAAACATGAGAGTAATTAGGTAATTTTCTGTGTTTTGCTACGAGAAAACTACTAAGTATTTTTTAATATATTTTTTCAACAATCAAACTATGAGTAAAAATTATATCAGTTATTAACAAATAAAATTAATTTACCAAACCATGTACTTTTGTCCTTTTATCGGCCCGACGTACACGAATAAATAAGAAGCTTTTGTCAAGATGGCATTGAAAACCTGAGAGATTGAAAAAGAAATTTGGTCAAGATGGGCATTGAAAACATGAGTGCCGTAGTGAATTTCAATACTGCGGCAAGTACGTGTGGTGCCCCTATACAAACAGTCAACTCTTACTCCAAAAACAAGGATAAGCAAAGGATTTGACAGGGCTACATGTACATTTGCCGCATCTACAAGCAATCTCAAATAGGAATGAGCAGCAAACCTCATAGGTGGTCAACAATCCATCCAACATAGTATCCCCTTTCTAGAGTTTAGACATGTGGAATAGTGACATGAGAGGAGAAGTAGCAGCTACAAACGAGTTGATATATCGTGGTTTTGCTAGACTCTATGTTAGTAGGCAAGTGTGCTAGCACATGGGGACAGGTTGTATTCACCAGGAGTTTGGGAATGTCACAAACGTGTCTGGAGTGTCTGATATATTGACGATTTCACCCTTTAAAAAAAAGACGTATTTTAACAACGGCTCGTGCAAAAAACTTATTTAGAAAAATGAATTGCCAAATGACGTAGAGGTCTAATGTCTTATAGCTAGAGGCCGTGGTGCCTAGAGTGAGAGTTGGAGGCCGATATCAACAAGAGGTCAGTGCTGACACGTTGGTATTGATCTTTCAACATAGTGGTAAAAGATTCTCTAAAATAGGGGACTTGACCAGGAATGAGAGGAGCTTCGACGTAAAGTTAGAGGGACGTCTCTTCCACTTGTGACCAGAAACTCTAGAGCTTGATGAGGCCGCAACGGCATTGGAGTTGATGAAGATTGACAAGGACGACAGTGATGTGGAAGACCAATGAGTTGGTAGGCGTTAGGAATCCGACGGCGCTAGCACTTGAGGCGGCAGTGGCACCACATGATCTGGACAATGCCAGCCCTCGTTGAGCTCCTGGTCGAGTCCCCTACCTCGCTGCCAGATCCATGGGTGTTTAGATTGGGAGATGATTGTTACTGCCTTGGATAAGGCATATCTAGGGCTAGTTTGGTTTGCAGCCTAAATTGGTCTTACCAATATTTGGTAATTTTAATAGTGTTTAGTGTCTATTTGGTTTGAAGCCAAATTTTGACAAAAGCCTAGAAAAATAGGCCATTTCAATAGTTAATTTAGGCTATTTTGGCTTCAATCTAAATAGAACTTTGTCTTGCCAAGAGTAAACATGCAAAAACTTGTGAAAATTTGGCATTGACAAAAATTGGTAAGGTCAAGTTAAGCCACGAACCAAACCAATCTCTAATACTTTTGTGTTAGACTCAGTGGGGCCCACCTAATACAAGTCCTATAAAAAAAAAGCTTCATATACGGAAGGTGTTCCGGATAAGAAAAGAGAAACAAAATCTTACTTAGTCACTGCAAGGTATACTCGGATCGTATTCATACTTGGCTCCCTAGTTCTACTTGAAAAGGGACGCTTAAGAGTATAAATACAAGACCCTAGGAGGAGAGGGGATATACGAAGACACGCTAAGACATATCTAAACAATCCAATACAATACTGCTCCAAAGCAGACTACGCTGGTCGTCGATCACATGTGAGAGCTTTATGACTAGATTAGGTCATCCTCTATATTGTAGTACTCGTGAGATATTGATATATAAAGACAGCACCAGCTTCGGTCAATAAGAGTAGCATTATTACCTATAAGTTAAAGCCC